CACACACACACACACACACACACACACACACACACACACACACACACACACACACACACACACACACTTGTGTAAAATCCTTCTGATGCTTGGTTTTAGCTCTGTGTGTGTCTGAAGTGTGTCTCCTCTCTGCAGCTGTGTGTGGTGGTGAATGACCTGGAGCATTTACGGGAAGTACTGAGCAAGCTTCCTAAACAACTGAACTTTGAAGGACTTCAGATTCTCACTAAACATGTCATTGGAGACARTCAGTTCAACAACACCCTGGATCTACAGCTGAAACAAGCCCAGAGCCTCCTGAAGAGAGAGATCCGCTCTGCTATAGACACACTKGGGATAAAGGTAGAAGTGCATTTATAGCTCTACTTAGCTGGGTTTTTGATTGTTTTTGTGAGGGCGGGGTTGTAAAGAGTAATGATAAACATTCATTATCTTACCTGCAGCAGATAGCAGTTAGTGTGMTCTCAGTTTAGAGAATCAGGAAAAGGTTTTCCTAATGGAGAGAAGCAGACAGATACACAGAGCCCATTACTTTAAATTTTCAAACTCAAAAGTGAAAAACACCTGAGCTGTTGCTGTATTTTTACAAGCAATTTATTTATATTGTTGTTGTTAGTTTCTCAACAAAAATTGTGTTGCAATTAAAACGGTGTATGCAATAGTTAATAAATGTTCTAAAGAGTTAGATTTATGGACAGTCCACATGGACAACCTTGTATCCACACAGAAACAATAATCTGGGAGCCTCAGAGAGATAATTACAACTAGACTGAGCCCTGCCTCAGTGTCAGAATATCAACTAAGTTTTGTGCACATCTGCAATGGAAACACAGCTGTTACAGATGTTTGAGCTAGTTCAAATATTGTGACTTCAACTAGTAGTAAAGTATATTTATTACTTCTTACTGCTGTAAATAATAATAATAAATATTTACCATTCAACACTAGAAAAAGTTGTCTGTGTACCTGATGATACTTCAGGATGACACTACTGATAACAGTCTGCCCATCTTCTCAACAGGTCAGGTTTGTCTAATACAAATAAAAATAAATAGTTAAATATATAATATTATTTTACAATGTGTAAATATTACATAAATCAGAGGTAAATAAGCTTTTAATAATTATTGCTTAACATACTACGTTCTGTATAGCAATAAATGCTACAGAAGCTAATATCTGCTAACCAGTTCAATAACTAACAGTGATTACATCAGCTTTATAAGCTTATTTTAACTTTAAACTGTTACATTATTGTTATTATTAGTTTCTACAGTAAATAACATGGTTGTGTGGTCTGGACTCACTCCAGCTGTTCTACCTCCACAAAGAGCCCTAAAACAATATGTTTGTAAAAGGGTTCCTGTGTGGAAACCAGTCTTGAAACACCACCTTTGTGGTTTTTGTGTCAAAATGCAACCGTTAGACAACGATGACATCATTGCCTCACTTCTAATCTAACTTACAACACAAGGACGAGTCGACCTCTTCTTCTTTTTGTGTTTGCATTTTCTTGCACACAACATTTATGCGCATGCTGTCGTGTCGTTTCCTGTTTGTAGYGGCAGCGTTACAGCACCACACACTGGCCTGGCCTGGAATAGCATGACAGATTTAAAGTCCCCTCACAGGAATAAGGTCCTGGGTTCTGTCCTAGACTGGGACCCGGGGTCTGTCTCTGTGGAATTTGTATGTTCTCCTAAATTCTCTTTAAAATTCCCGTCCTTCTTAAGAAATATAACATATCTTCAAAAACTACATCTCCTGATGATCTTTGAAGTAAATCTTTCTTTTTAATCTATTTTTATTTATATCTAATTTTCTAACTAACTGCTGTCTTTCTTCTGTGTATTTATTGCATTCCATAAATACATGATCTACATTTTCAATTTGTCCACAGTCACTTAATCCTGTTTCATGTTTTTTCATTATTTTTAGTGGACTATTTAAACCTGTGTGTCCAAATCTCATTCTTGAAATAATATCCTCTTCTTTCTTACTCCTATAGCATTTCCTAAATACTCCCACCTTTTTTTGTATATTGTAAAAATATCTACCCTTTGT